GTGGAAAAATCCAAGTTATGGGAGAATATGCGGGTCACCGGTTGGGTACCTGTGTAGGGGCCTTCCGCCCACAGGCCATCCTTTAGTGATTCGGTCTTCGCTTTCACTAATCCAGGTGTTACTTCCGCAGGATCCGTTATAGTTGGTGGTCTGGCAGGCTGCAGCTTTTGTCTTCCTCGAAAGGGTTGAGATCGAGGAGTCGGTTTTCCGCGTTGCACACGAGAGGGGTTTTCTTGGGGATACTGTTCCGCAGCCACCTCATCGGCCGAGCTGTTCTTTTCAGCCGCCTTTTTTTGGTTAAAGGCGTTCATTCGCCTCGCATTTCTGTTCATTCTTGGTGTTCCAAGAGCATTAGGGGCACGAGTATTCTCAGCCTGTAGCTATTTGGCTTGTTCTGATCTTTTACAATATGTAGGAATTTCCGTATAAACGACGTCTTAGATTCGTCTTAGAACTTAATTACGACAATAGAAGCTATTATTGTTTCTAGCAGTATCGGAAATGAGCATTTCTGCATCAGATAGATGCAGAAGGTTGGAACGCGATGCAATCAAAACACCGTGATGCTATTTTAAATTGCGCTGCGATTAAAAGGTTGCGGCGGAGGGATTTGATATCGTTTTCTCTCTCATACTCCCTCTGGCTTCTCTTACAACATATTCGCTATTAGCGAAATATTAAATTCTCGGACGTTGCTGTACGGTTTGGATCGCATGTCCGCTCCGCTTGTAGTGCACGTGCTCTGTTCGCACGCGAATGCGATGGAGATCGATATTATTTAATTTCCGGATGTTCGAATCTAATGTTTTTTTTTATCTAACAATGACGTGCATACATAAATGGTGGGCACACATAAATGTGAAATCTAAAAGCGCACGCGTTTCAGACATGGACATCTCAATAAGAAATTTTTTTTTTAATTCACGCACAAGTGTATTATTAATTAAATGTGTGAAAATTAGATCTAATGAAAAATTAGAAGATTAAAAAATTTGACAAATTAACAAATTTTAGATTCTTAAGAGTTTGAAATAAATCTGGTGTTCTTCGTACGTGAATATGAAGTTTTAACCTTTCGTAGTCACACTGGGTCAATTTGACCCGCCCTCATTAGGATCACAAATATCAGCTAAGTACCTAGTTTAATGGGGGTTGGTCCGAATTGGCGTCTTTGTCTCTTTCTACTAACAATAAAATCTTAAAAGCGACGCTCGAGCCTAACGTGTTTTGTCTACCACAAGGTAATTTTTTTTTCCCGGAAGGCGCGCCGCGGCTCCGACGGCAAACGCGAGCCTTCGAAATGCGGTAGTAATTTAGTTGTATCGCGGTGACAGTGAAGCGAGATCAAATAATTTATTGCTCTGCGATCCCGCGTTCAATTCCTTGAAGCCGGTCGCGTTCGGCATACCGCGCTTGCTTGTTTTTCTAGCGCTCGCCACTTGTGGAAGCAATAAATTTTTTTGGTTTTCTCCTTATAAGGAGTAGGATCTCGAAAGCCAGGCTCGTGTATCGCACGTGTTTCGACGACGTCGCGGCTGCCTCCTTTTTTTCGAGAGGTACGCCGCGGCGTCGATAGCGAGCCTTTCAAATTCGGTAAGTGATTTATTGCCGTCGCGGTGACAGTGAAATAAGATCTAACAATTCATCGCTCCGACGTTTATTTATCTCCAAATTTGCGGAAGTTAAAACTTTCTCTATGAGGAAGCCATGTGCAAATTTCTAATTTGCACAATTTTTAATATTTTTCATGTGTTACTTTTTTTCGGATTAACAAATTTTCTTTATATTTAATGTTGCGACAGTAATTTTTACCCGTCATTTAAAATGGAATTGAAAATTAAAAAAAAAAATCACACATCATCTGAGAACTACAAAGAATACTTTTCATAGTGCAACCAATTTTGGAAATAGCACCCTAATATCTGACACGGTGGCTTTCGCTGTGCATCGTGGACAGTGATTCGTACTGTTGTCGGGATTGTTTGCTTATTACGGTATACGTTTTCTTAACTGTATAAGGTACAATTAATTCGGACGTTTCGGCTCCACATTGAGCCGTCTTCAGCGGTGTAAAAATTAGTAAAAGTAAAATTAGATTAGAAATGATGAATTATAAAGCTAGAAATTTTACTGTCAGATATTTCAGAATATATTTGAATTGTTTCAGTATACTTGAATATACTGAAAAATTGAATCGCTGATGTTTAAGAATGTATTTATATATAGTCTAGTTACGTTCTAAATATTCTCTACTTTTATTGCAAATAACTCGATTAGTATAAATAAGTATTGGGCCAGAAAATGCTTAATTATTGTTTAATTATTTAAGAACTTCCGTTCCGTTTTTAAATAATTAAACAATAATGAGTTTCAACGAATAATGTATCAGGCATTAAAAATGTGAAAATTAAGTTTTCGTCGTAAATCTCAACAATTCAACATTTAAAATACGTATTCTGATTGAAAATTAACAAATAATATTTTACGTTTATTAGGTATGCATGTACTGAATCAGTGATGAATACTGTCGCAATTTATTTTAGTATCTATTAAACTTTTAATATTATCAAGTTAAATGAGTAATGCGTTTTGTTAAAAAAATAACTTGTTTTTTAATAAGATAATTTTGCAATATTAATAAAAAATTATACATAATATTTATGTAGTATATTGTTTTGTAGATATAATCTTGAATTCAGTGATTTATCAAATTTCGTAGTCAGAATTCGAGTAATTTATAGGTACATTGAAGTTTTTTCGTGAGACTGCGGTTCTGTTCCTAATCAGCACAAGTTCTATTATCGACTGTAGCCATTCGTAGGAAAGAAACCACTACGTGCTCTGCAGTAATTAACTCCTACCAGTTTCTATGCATAAAAAGCGCATTGTTGGCGCGGTGGCAGTTACTTAGAGGGTAATTTGTTCATCTAATTGACGGCAATTTCACTGTTTTATGATGGAATAATGGAGACATAATTAAGATGTTTCAAATTTAGCATTTAAATTTATTATTTTATTTAACTGTGAATGATGATAATAATACATTGTAAGTAGAATATTGTTTGAAGAAAATATAAAAAATTATCCATGATTTTTCTTTATTCTTATCGTTAATAAAAAATGGCAGTTTCTTAATTACAATAAATAATGATAAAATATTAAAATGTAAAAATTGAAAGATTTCTCACTCAGTTTCTCGAGAATGAATGGCATTTTTATATTTTCATCAAAACAGTGTGGTTTTTGTATTTTTCAATTAAATCGAATAGTGATTTGCTGCTATTTTTTCGGTAAATAATGAAGCTAATAGTAGGATATATTCGGTCTCAGGGCTGGCTACAAACTAAGTTTACTCGTCATTATCACACTAACTATGTTGCAGTTAAAGCAACGACAGTTTCGTCGTTGCAGTTTCGTTTACTCGCGCACGTTTCCGTTGCTTCCGCCTGTTGGAAATGATACTTTTTACGTGTCGCTGCTTCGCCTCTTTTATTTCGCGATGCTACGATTTTATTAAGCAGCATAGAGCAACTTGACGTTTCTCTCGATAATTAACGAAAGATATCGAATCACGTTACATGCGTATTTTTGGACGATCTTTTGCTTAATAGATGTTTCTTATTTGTGTTAAAATTCATTTTTAACTTGATTTTATATATATATATTTTTTAGCTTATATATTATTATTTTTAAATGATACGTGTTAACTGTTTGAATAATTTAACAGCATGCAGAATATCATAAAAATATATTCTTCCATAAATATATAGTTACGTAACTTAAATGTGATTAAATTACTGCACAGAAAGAACGAGATATAAAAATTTAAACGCACTTAATATAGAGTAAAGTACATATAGTATATATATATATATATATATGTATATATATATATATATATATATATATATAAATATTGTTTGATTTATTTGAGATTTAATTAACAAGACATTCAATTAATTTATGATAAATTTATATTTAGAAGATTCGATTATTTGTATAAATTGGTAAAGCTATTTAAAAGACATTTGACAGCTAGAATTGCGACTTGAAATAGAATTATATGGATTGATTGTCCCAGATTTTAAAAAATTACGTTGTTTTTATCTCTTCACTTTTGCTGTTGCGATATTAAAAAATGTATACTTTTGGAATCTCGTAATCCATTTTTCGAAGCTACTTTTAGCGTTAAGAGGAACAGAAAAAGCTTTCAGTTAAAATGATATAAATTATTCGAGAGAAATATCTTCTGTGGTTTGGTGATTTTAACTGCAATGTACTAATCTCCTAAAATCTCTTACAATCGAATAAATTATTTTGATTCTATTTTCATCTGACATAAATATGTGTCGAGTATTCCGCGCTTTTTAATATTGTATGAATTAAGTATATTTTTATTTCTTTAAAACGTCAACGTCGTCTACAGATAATTTTTATATTCCAAACTGCACCCCCCGCACGAGTGGGGCTCGTGCGGAGAAACTGGGCTTTCGGAGGAGACATTAAATTTGAAATTGGTCGTCAAGCTTGGGGAGCTTGGGAGTTTTGGTCAATTTAAAATACGAAGGTTTGAATTAAGAAATTGTGAGTGTAAATTTAAATTATATAATTTGCAACCCGATTTCCCTCGGTCTCGCTAGCCGAAGGGGCGCGGCTCCAAATTAGTTGTCTAGTAACCAGACGATAGCTCTAGGAGGCTAACAATGTCAAATCTTTTACCTCAGAATTCGGGGTCGTAGGGGCCGTCCTACGAATTCCCTTCCGCGTTTCCCGGACACGCCGGGCAGGTCCTCGTGGTAAACTCGCGCTTGCCGCACCGGTAACAATGCGTCTGCGGCGACTCGTTACATTTGTTTGCGCTACGCCATTCAAAACAAGCAAGGGCAATGAAATCAGTTAAAATCTATCGATAAGCGAAACTATTTATGTACGACTTTCGACATTACGTTATCTGTAGGAAAATTACAAGTACGTCATTTAATCTTACGCGATATATCGTTTCAAATATAGCATGGGGCAAACAACCTTTCGCAAGAGACACACAGCTTGATCGTTACCTGTAAGCTTTGGAGACTCTCATACAATTGATCTATATTGTATGCACCGAGCAGAAGGCACTGAACACTTTTATTCTTTAAAGACCACGCGATGGCCAATTGCCCGAAAGAGCCATTCAGTCTTTCGGCAAGAGCGTATACGTCCCGCAATTTGTTCGAGTATTTCCGAGTCTCCTTGTCTGCAGATTTGTCTTTCCATGCGTACTCCTGCGTCACAAAAATAATAATCATTAGCGCGTTTAAAAGAATAAGTGCACAGTTCAAGAATCGTGTCTCCGCATCATTATGACAGTTTTTGTAAATTATCATGGTTAATTATCATTCAAAGACAATGAGAGTAATGGCCTTGCACTTTGCTTATTGTTATTAGAAATAACTGAATGTAGGTACATAAAGCAAGGGAAAAAATGCGTTTAAGGGTCCGGACAACTATTTGGCGAATATTCGCCCTCCTAGTGAGTTTGGACGGAAATGGGCCATTAATCCGTAATAACACGGAGGACTGTTTGTGCGTGTCGGGAGTATGTGTGGCATAATGTTTCTTGCCATACTTGTACTGGTCAAGTTAAATGGAGGTGAACCGCGAGTAGTATCGTCTTCCATAAATCCCGCCGTGAAAAACGTCGTGGCGCTCAGCCGCGTCGCGAACGAAACGGGAGAAATATCGAGAGCCAGCTGCACTCGCGGATGCTGCGGAGTCTCTCTTGTCGCTCCCACATCCATGCGGTAATATCTACTGCCGGGTGGTACGTAGTTACAACGGCACGTCGAACTTGCCGGGAAGTTGGCCGGGAAACTCCCCGTTGTGTCCTCGCGGGAGCAGTCCGGCTGCGGACCGTCGTTAAGTTATTTACTGCTCTGCGATTTTATTGAGATCCACCACGGCGTTAAGCTCGCTTTGCACCACGGGGAAGCACGACCGGCACTAAATCGTTCGTTCCTCCCAGCGTCACTTTGGCGTTCTCGCCGCTGGTCGATGGCACTGACGCTTTTGCATGGTTCACGCGGTAAAGACGCCAGGACTTTCGCGCATTTCTCAGTATTAGCAACGCATATTTATATTTACAATCGTATTTTTTAACATTGCGATATATGTATATATTATAAATTTATTGCGTATTTATCACAGGTTTTAAGTATGTTTGTGCAATATTATTTCTAAATTTTGTTTTATGGTTTGAAAAGGAATTAAGTTTTGAATACAGGAAAATAATAAAAGCACATATACATATATTCACTCACCTTTTCCTGTTTCCATACTTATTTTATTTTTGCTTCATCTTTTTGCAGAGATGCCAATAATGTCATATTTTTTTTCCACGTGTCACTATCACATTCGAGTTCCGCAACGTAAAAATCAATGAAACTCCAATACTAAGAGTCATATTTTGTGTCAAACGGTCCGAATACTAAGTATTCGAAGATGGCATATTTCTGGGCTAAATTTACATTAATATCACTAAACAACATTAATTACATATAATAGACGCAATATTCTGATATATTTTATATTCTTTTACACATATAATCAATTAAACTGAGATATTTCAAGTTACATCTTTTATATCAGGTGGTCTCACTATCAAGTGTCGAAAGACGGTCATATTTTGAGAAAATTATGCACTGACGGTATTAAATAGTAATAATTACATATACTTTAATTGATATTTTGATATATTTCTTTCTCTGTAACATAAAAGTCATTGAAACTCCAATACTAAGAGTCATATTTTGTGTCAAAGGGCCTGAATACTGGGTATTTAAAGATGGTATATCTTTGGGCAAAATTTACATTAATATCACTGAAGAACATCAATTACATATAATAGACGCAATATTTTGATATACTTAATATTCTTTTACACATGTAATCAATTAAACTGGGATACTTGAAGCTATATCTTTTATATCGGGTGGTCTCACTACCAAGTGTCGAAAGACGGTGATATTTTGAGACAATTATACATTTACAGTATTAAATAGTAATAATTACATATACTTTAATTGATATTTTGATATACTTCTTGCTCTGTAACATAAAAGTCATTGAAACTCCAATACTAAGAGTCATATTTTGTGTCAAAGGGCCTGAATACTGGGTATTTAAAGATGGTATATCTTTGGGCAATACGACCGCGAATGATTTAATAATGAGATTTAAGAGAAAACAGAGCGAGAGAAAAAAATACGAGATGTAAAGAATAATCGGAACCAATTATTTCTTTCAATTCAATTGATTCCGATTTTGAGTGGACGACCTCATTCCTCCATTTGGTGACACTATTTAACGCCTTGTCGACGTCTTCGATTTTTAGTTCTCCGTCTTTTAACTTGTTTATAAATTTTTCCTATTTTTTTATTTCTTTGGTTGTTAAAAGATGACTGTGTTCTCGGACTGCTTGATCTAAATGTTCTATCGTTTTACATGTTTTAATACTAAATTTTTTGTTAAAGATCCCTGCTCAGGGGGCGGTAGAGCATTCCCCGGATTTGCGATTAAACTCGAAGGACCAGCGGGAGTGTTTCGGTCCCCGCGAAGCGATTATACGATAGCGAATAATATGATAGCAAAACCGACTCACCGTTTCGTTGCCCGGCCCTCTCGTCGGTGTACTCGAGTCGTCCATCTCCTAGGCAGGCAAACTGGGAATGATCCAAAGCAACCGTGGCCAGTCAGTAGCTGGGTCATCCTAAATGTCAGGTAGTCCGTGCCCCTGTCCAACCACGCGTCGAAGCTCGGCGCGATCGCCTCCCTTGTTCTTTTTCTTGGCAATTGCTGGTCCCGTATGTGCGCTGCCCATTCCCTCCGCAATGTCAGCCACTCGACAGAGCGCTCTTCCGCCGAGGAGTCGTCGGTATAAAGCTCTTAAAGTTTACGAAAGTTAGAGCTATTACAGACATTTTTGTAAAAATTAGAGATCTTTGATCGCGTATAAAGCTGGGTTTAATCAACCAAATCTTAAAGAATTATATATGAAATAGAGGTAGAAAAGACTGAAGAAAATTCGGTTGATTAGTTTTATATGCGAGCTTTATATGCTGTTTTTTCTACCCCTATTTCATATATAATTCGTTAAGATTTGGTTGATTACTTCTGGAGTTATAGAAATTTCGGCAAATTTGACACATACACACATACACACACACACATACATACTTTTTAAAATTACAATTTTTCGACGTTTTAGAACATTCTGAACACGTTCAGAAAAACAAAAAAATTTTTTTTACGGAAACAAAGCTTCTTCTATGAGGAAGCAAAAGGGAATGAATTATGGTTAACAGCTGCACTATTGATTCTGATTAAGAGAATTGTAGACTTTAAGGTTCAAATAATCTTTTGAAAGATTTCTTTATGCTGAAAATTTTAAAAATATCAAAGTGGAAGAGGAAGGAAAATGCCGGAAGTGAACAGGACGCGGAAGCGGTGGTTTTCGCCCCGAATTCCGTTCGTTCACGAGCGAAAAGAAAATCCAGGATGGTAGTTTTACATTCGCCCGAGATGATCCCGAGGTAACTCGCCGAAGACAATTGCGAGGAAACCAATTCGGTAGTAGACTTTCTGTTTTTTTTTCCTCGACGTTTCTTGCACGAACGAACCGAAAAGGATCGGAAATTATCAGATAATCGCGAATAATCCGAAATGATCTATAGACACTAGACATAAATCTAGTGCTTATTATTTTTTTCACAAAAGGAAAAAAAGAAAAGAAGGAAAAAACGTAGTTTCCGTTTTTTATCGTATTATTCATTTAATATGCCGTAATGCTACATTTTATTTCATATATGGTGACACATATAACGCGCTTTTTCGTCCGTCGCCGCTATTGCCGCCCTATATTACACACTCTCGTGCTCACCTCTTCTTTCTCCGTTCTCGTTCGTGTAGATCGGAATTTCTTAGCGATTTACATTCCGCCGCGGATCGGCGTTGGCGATAACCGAGCACTACGTCTCGAATCAGCTATATGTCTCAGCTATGCGTCGCGACACGCGCGCAGCTTTTGGTTCTCATGTCTCGGTTGCACGTCCGCATAGCTGTTTCCGCTCGCTCGTATACGTACGTGAACGCATGCGGAAGAAGCTGCCGCTGCTCGTGGTATTTTGTCGGGAAGCGATTGACAAGGAACGGATTTCCACGTTCAAGCGTTCAGTTATCTGGCGCGTAATGCATTGACGAATGCAACGATCGTACCAACGTTTTGTCTGCGCGTTTTCTTTCAAAATAATTTGTCTACATGCGATTGAGACTGTATACATGCGATCCACCCTCTCGTCAAGTAGATACGAATAAGTAAATATAACAATTAATTTTAAACTTC